TTTGAGATGGAGTCTCACTCTGTCACCCAGCCTGGAGTGCAATGGCATGATCTCCACTCACTGCAACCTCCACCTCCCAGGTGCAAGCAATTCTCTGGCTCATCCTCCTGAGTAGCTGGGATTACAGGCATCTGCCACCATGCTCAGCTAATTTTTGTATTTTTCGTTTGTTTGTTTTTTTGAGACAGAGTCTCGCTCTGTTGCCCAGGCTGTAGTGCAGTGGCGCGGTCTCGGCTCACTGCAACCTCCGCCTCCTGGGTTCAAGCGATTCTCCTGCCTCAGCCTCCCGAGTAGCTGGGACTACAGGCGTGTGCCACCACACCCAACTAATGTTTTGTATTTTTAGTAGAGATGGGGTTTCACCATGTTAGCCAGGATGGTCTCAATCTCCTGACCTCATGATCCACCCGCCTGGGCCTCCCAAAGTGTTGGGATTACAGGCGTGAGCCACTGTGCCCGGCCTAGTTTTTGTATTTAGTAGAGATGGGGTTTCACCATCTTTGCCAGCCTGGTCTTGAACTCCTGACCTCATGATCCAGCCACCTTGGCCTCCCAAAGTGTTGAGATTACAGGTGTGAGCCACCGCGCCCAGCCAAACAAGGTGCTTTCTAAGAGCCTTTTCACCTCTGCAGTTCTAGACATCTGGATGTGACCTTGAGTGACTTTTCCTAAGACCTGGAGACATTCTAGTGAGGGAGTGGGGCTGATTTCATTTGAAGGCAGGCAGAGCAGAGAGAGCTATGGCATCGGAGAAGCACAGGGGCCTTGGCTGGGAGACCCACTGTTTCCACAGGGGACCATGAAGAAGTGAGAGAGGCCTAAATTGCAGGGTGGATTCCAGAAAGACACTGGTTAAAATGGAGAGATGGGTCTGGGTGCGGTGGCTCATGCCTGTAATCCCAGCAGTTTGTGAGGCCAAGGCAGGCAGATCACTTGAGGCCAGGAGTTGGAGGCCAGCCTGGCCAACATGGTGAAACCCTGTCTCTACTAAAAATAAAAAAATGAGCCAGGTGTGGTGGTGGCAGCCTGTATTCCCAGGTACTTGGGAGGTTGAGGCAGGAGACTCGCTTCAATCCAGGAGGCAGTGGTTGCAGTGAGCCGAGATCTCACCACTGCCGTCCAGCCTGGGAGACAGAGCGAGACTCCATCTCAAAAAAAAAAAGAGAGAGGGAGAGATGGTGGTGTTTTCTTAGCAGAGGTCTTTAAGGATTGGGAAAGACAAGTGCCAGGCTTGAATGGCAAGGAGGGGTCGGGGTTGGATGCTGGGTGCTGAGCAGGCTCCTTTCTTGCCACAGTAGCAATAGCCAGACCCAAGGCCTCAGGGCCCAGAACGAGGGCCGCCTAAGGGTCACACACACCCTTGCAAAGACAATGGCAGAAGATACTGAAGGGCGTGGCTTCTGCTTGGGGAAAAGTGGTGTTAGAGGTGGAGACACTGCTCAAGTCCAGGGAGAGGGTGGACACACAGTTGGGACTGACCTGTTAAAGCCCCTGAGCTCTGCAGAGGCCACTTCCAAAGGCGCTTGGCCTCCCCTTTCTGTTTCTTGGGATCTGTGTCTCCCACTCTTTCTCCCTCAAGTTCTTCCCATCTCCCAGCCTCTTCCTCAAAGTAATGACAGCTGGATTTCCAGCCACCCATCACCCCTTTTCCCTCACCTTCCCACAGCACACCAGCCAGTGCAGTGGGGGAGGAACTGGGTGTCAGGAATTCGGGGCCTGGGGCCTCCTGGGGTGGGGAGATGGGGAGAGGGTGCTCTAGGGAGACAGAGCTCCTGTTTACATTGCTCTTGGCACCTGCTGGCAGGGACCTGCAGGTAACCATGGCAATCAGGTGAGGAGCCAATCAGTGCTTCTCCCCACCCCCAGCCCCAGAGGTAACAGTCAGAACCTGTGGGGATGGAGTGGGGGGAGCAGGGAGTGTAGCAAGGGGCTTATTTTCTTAAACTGGAGAAGGAGCAGTGTTTCATTCAGTCAGCACTGCCTTGGGCCTCGGTCTAGAAAGGGTCCTGAGGAATAGGCTGGGGCTGAATTCTCAGAAATGCTCAGGGAAGTGATTGGGTGAGGGGCACAGCCATTCACAGTGTGGGGCTCCTGGCTGTGGGGTCCTTAAGAGCAAGTGTCAGCCGGGTGTGTTGGCTCACACCTGTAATCCCAACACTTTGGGAGGCGAGACAGGCGGGTCACTTGAAGCCAGGAGTTCAAGACCAGGCTAACCGACATGGCGAAACCCCATCTCTGTTTATAAAAAAATATATATATACAAAAATTAGCCAGGTGTGGTGGCATGCGCCTGTAATTCCAGAAGGTGGAGGCATGAGAATCACTTGAACCCGGGAAGTGAAGGCTACAGTGAGCCAAGATCACACCACTGTACTTCAGCCTGGGCAACGGAGCAAGACTGTCTCAAAAAAAAAAAAAAAAGAGCAAGTGTCTGTTCTGAAAATACAGGGAGTGTGTGAATAAGGTGGCTTGGGCGGTGTGAAGTGTGCGGAGCCTATGTGTTTACGTGTGTGTGTACGCGTGCACATGTATATGAGGGTGAACGGGAGAAAGATGAGGGCATGCGACAGAGACCCCAGGTGTTATCAGAGCTCAGCATCAGCATGTTTGTTGGTGGCTCTGCACACACACATAGATGCATCTGGACACACACATGACTGACAGGCAGGCACAGGAAGTACCTTTCTTTGGAGGCCCAGATGGCACGTACACATGATGGATATTACACACGCACAGAGAGACAGCCACTTGGATTGTTCTCTCCTCTGGATGGTTGTAATAATATTTGGGCATCTTGCCAGGGACAGGGTTACTATGGAAACGACCAAACAGTGGAGTAGCCAGCAGCTTTCTGCGTAATTGCAAAGGGGGGACCCATGCAGGGAGGGCTGGCCGAGGCCACTCTGCGTGGGGTGGGAACCCCTCTCCCTTCTCAGATCCCTGGGGCCGTGTCTCTGGGCTTGCCGTGGGACTGGCTTGTTCCCCTCTGTCTGCCCTGTAACCTGGTGTCTCTCCCACGTGTGGCCTTTGTGTCTCTGCATCTCTTTCTGTCTCTGGCCAGGTTCCCTGAGCCTCTGTTGGCTGGCTGGGTCCTGGCCAGACTCATCCTGGGGTCTCTATAGAAACTGCTGATCCCGGCTGTGAATTTCTTGTCCTAGAAAACTCAGTGTGGTGGCTTTAGAAATCTTTCTGGAAAGGAGAGAAGGGTGTGCGTATGTTGTAAAGGAGCTGTTGGGGCTTGGCCTCTTCCCAAGCCCCACCCTTGGGCTTTTACTCTGGGAAAGAGGAGGGAGGGGCTGTCCCTTCCAGGTGCAGGTTTGGTTTGATTTCTTTACCAAGAAGGAAGCACAGTGGCCAATCCAGAGCTGGACTTTTCACCTCTCCGGACCCTGCCTGGGCCTGGCTGGTGTCGGGCAGGCGGTCTGGGCACAGAGCACTTTCTGCCCAGCTTTGGCAGGCATCTGTGAGAGCCTGTGGTTTGTCATTGGACAGCCTGTGAACAGGTGGCAGAGGCGTCACCAGGGCAGGAGACAGCGGGAGAGTAACAGTGACCATGTTGGGGGAATTCCTGCAGTGTGCATGAAAGGGGGGTTCCTGGACCCTGTGTGCTTGTGGGCAGGGAGCACTCATGCAGGGGGCTGTCCATCAGGGGCACTGGGAGGGATTCCTGTGGCAGGGGTATAGCCTTTTTGCCTAAACTCTTTGAGTCCAGGGCTAGGGCTGGAGCTGTGCATTCCCAGCTTCAGGCATGTAAGGACCCTCTCTGTTCCCTGCCTGAGTCCCAGGCCTGGAAGCCAAATGGTCAGGGTATGGTGGATTTTCTGGGAGCAGCCTATATTTGGCAGACTTTAGAGGAGGGAGGTGCTCCAAAGCCTAGGCTGGGTGCGGAGCCAGAAGCACAAGGGATGGCTGTGGCCTTCTAACTTAGGGCAGCCTGTGCCCTGGTGCTTCCAGGGAAGCCTTCTTGGAGGAGGAGTGAATGGATGGAGTAGATAGGAGGCTGGGATCAAGTCTGAGGCCCTGCACCTGGGTGGAGGGGTTGAGGGAGTGAGGATAACTTATTTTTCCCTTCTTCTGTTCCTTGAAGTTTCAGGCCAGTGGCTGATTTATCTGAGTTTCCTCCTAGTTCCTAGGATGCTTTAAATGTGGACCATGTGCGTGAATACGGATTGGGATTGGGGAGTTTTGTTTTTGTTTTTCTTTTTTAGACAGAGTCTCGCTGGGTCGCCCAGGCTTGAGTGCAGTGGCATAATCACGGCTCACTGCAGCCTCAACCACTCAGGCTCAAGGGATCATGTGAGGCAGGAGGATCCTCCTGCTGTGGCCTCCCAAAATGCTGGGATTACAGACATGAGCCACTGCACCCGGCCTGGGATAGGAGAGAGTTTAAAAAGCCCTCTTCTCTTCCATTTTCCTGCCTCCTCACACTCTCTGGGGAGTTGGGCAGTACATCCTGTGGCCTAACTTCAATCTTTCCTCCTGCTCCCCAGAGGGAGCCTGACCTTGTTGCTCAAGGCTGTGTGACTCTCCAGAGCCCGGGCACCCAATGAACACACAGAGGGGGCCAGAAAGAACCAGCCGCATGTACGCCCCCAGCCGACCCTGAAGGCAGAGAAGGGTCTTGGGCTCAGGGAGAGATGTGCTGGGAGGTGTGGAGTGAAGTGTGGGAGGGGCTGCCGAGGCTCTGGGTTTCTTTTTTTTTTTTTTTTGAAACAGAGTCTCGCTCTCTCGCCCAGGCTGGAGTGCTGTGGCTCAATCTCGGCTCACTGCAAGCTCAGCCTCCCGAATAGCTGGGACTACAAACGCCCGCCAGCACCCCCGGCTAATTTTCTGTATTTTTAGTAGAGACGAGGTTTCACCGTGTTAACCAGGATGGTCTTGATCTCCTGACCTCGTGATCCGCCCGCCTCGGCCTCCCAAAGTGCTGGGATTACAGGTGTGAGCCACCACGCCCGGCCAACTCTGGGTTTCTGATTCCACTTTGTTTCCCAGGGCAACGCTCCCCAGTCCCCCCACCCCTGACCCCGGAATCATGCATCGGACTACACGGATCAAAATCACAGAGCTGAACCCCCACCTCATGTGTGCCCTCTGCGGGGGGTACTTCATTGATGCCACCACTATCGTGGAGTGCCTGCATTCCTGTGAGTTGGGGGGAGGGGAGCTGCTCAGGGTGGGCAGCCTCTGTGCCCAGATTGGGGTGGGCATGGCCTGAGGAAGGTAGCACACAAACCCTTGCCCTGAAGAGCCAACGTGCCCACGTGTCTGCTGGGAATCCTCAAGTCACAGAGGGCCTACCTTGCAGGGGCAACTGGGTGCGGGGCATCGGCCCAGAAGTTCATTTCAAGGACTTGCATCTGAAATCTTAGCTCTTTCTTGAAATGACTGAAATTGTATGCCCTGAAGATGCAGACACCCCTTGTTTGTACTGTGGGCTTGGCAGCAAGGGGGTGAGACCCAGGGGCATCTTGAACAGGCTGGCTTTTGTCCTCCACTCCATTGGGGAGCTTGGGACTGAGGGCTGACCTTCTGCGTTGTACGTGACACTGGCCTGTCTCACACAAGATCCAGCTTCCCTCAACAATGCACAGGGACAGGTGCCACACGTGCAAAACACACATCGCCACGTTGGGCCTCGGAGCAGGGACAGGGTGGAGGTGAAGGGATATCTGAGTCTGAGCAGAGGGCGGGGAGGCTGGTCCTGGGATTGGAAGGCGACTCTGACTCTCCTCCCTCTCTCCACACCCCCAAGTCTGCAAAACCTGCATCGTGCGCTACCTGGAGACCAACAAATACTGCCCCATGTGTGATGTGCAGGTCCATAAAACCCGGCCGCTGCTGAGCATCAGGTAGGCTTGGCACCGCACTCCTGCCCCCGCCATCCTCTGGGTCAGCCTCCCCCATCCCTCCCGCACTCCGTGCTTCCTTCAGGCAAGGCGGCAGGTGTGGGAGAAGCACGGCGTGTGGACTTGGGCTACTCCCCTCCCTTGGGGTTGCATTTGGCTCGTCATAGGCTGAGAGGCATACTAGAGGGTCAAAGACCAGACCCACAGGGATCCCAATGCCTGGGCAGTGGGTCTCAGAAAGGGAGTGGGTAGAGAGGTCCCATGACTGGGAGAGCAGGGTGACGTCAGAGCAGTTCTCTGGAGAGCTCATTGCTGATACACCCTGTCCATTTTTCCCCAGGTCTGACAAAACCCTTCAAGACATTGTCTACAAATTGGTCCCTGGGCTTTTTAAAGGTATCTGCACACCATTCCTCCTCCTGCCCACCGACCCCATTTCCCAACCCATGGCCCCGTCCTCATCCGCTCCCTTCTTCCAGATGAGATGAAACGGCGGCGGGATTTCTATGCAGCGTACCCCCTGACAGAGGGTGAGTGTGCTCACATCTGTTTGTGTGTGCATGGGCGTGCCTGGGACCATGTAGGTGTGTAGTGTTACCAGTCACCCTCTGACCTCCTCGGCGCACACCTCCCCAGAAGGTGGCCCGGCTCACCTGGCTGAGTTCATGATCCCTGGGTCCTTGGCGGGCTCCCTTCTTCCATCCTCCACCAACCCAAGAGCTCTCTCCTTCTGCAGTCCCCAACGGCTCCAATGAGGACCGCGGCGAGGTCTTGGAGCAGGAGAAGGGGGCTCTGAGCGATGATGAGATTGTCAGCCTCTCCATCGAATTCTACGAAGGTGCCAGGCAAGTCCGGCCCAGGCTGGCCCCTTCTGGGCTCCTAGGTTGGGTCACCCCTTCTCCCACCCAGGGCCCTCTGGATGTGTCCATCGAGGGACCATCCTCCTGGGTCTCCTGGTTCTTCCTGGGTCTTCCTAGCTTCGTTCTTTCTCCATCCCCAGGGACCGGGACGAGAAGAAGGGCCCCCTGGAGAATGGGGATGGGGACAAAGAGAAAGTGAGTGCTGGGGCCTGCCCAGGACTGGAATGTGGGCTGGGAGGGAGTGGCCTGGGGTGGATCCCCTACCATGGGTGCCTGTGCCCCAACAGACAGGGGTGCGCTTCCTGCGATGCCCAGCAGCCATGACCGTCATGCATCTCGCCAAGTTTCTCCGCAACAAGATGGATGTGCCCAGCAAGTACAAGGTGGGTCCCTGGGCCTTTCAAATAATGAGTGTCTGTATATGGGTGTGTCAGACAGTCTGTGCACGCCAGCCATTGGTCAGGGCTGGCTAGTTGTCACCCAAGGCTTTTGTGGTTAACTGAACCCATGTGTTAATAGAAGGGTGGTTGAAACCAAGATTAGGGTTTCTGGGGGTGTTGAAGTAAGTGTGCAGTAGTGCATGGGACCAAGATGGTGTGTATTGTGCATGTTACACACTCGGAACTGTGGCAGAGATGAGTGCAAAAACGCAGGGCCTCCTCTGGGGCCGGTTGGCTGTGGGAAGGCTAGTCTGAAATTCCAGCAGAGCTCCAGGACATGCCTTTTCAAGCTTGAATGTGTATGTGTCCCCTGGAGATCTTGTTAAAATGCAGATTCTGATTTAGTAGATTCCTTTTTTTTTTTTGAGATGGAGTCTTGCTCTGTCACCAGGTTAGAGTGCAGTGGAGCGATCTCGGCTCACTGCAACCTCCGCCTCCCGGGTTCAAGTGATTCTCCTGCCTCAGCCTCCCGAGTAGGTGGGATTACAGGTGCGTGCTACCGCACCTGGCTAGTTTTTGTAGTTTTAGTAGAGACGGGGTTTCACCATGTTGGTCAGGCTGGTCTTGAACTCCTGACCTCGTGATTCATCCCACTCGGCCTCCCAAAGTACTGGGATTACAGGCGTGAGCCATGGCACCCGGCCAGATTCCATATTTCTAACAAGCTCCTAGCTACTGAAGGTCCACAGATCACACTCTAGGACAGTGGATCCTAAACTGTTGCCTGTTAAATCTCACGAGTTAACTCACAACTTACCAGTTAAGTCAGAATTTCTGGGGGTAAGATGCAAGCATTGATTTTTTGTTTTTGCTTTTTTTTTCTTTTCCCTCTGTCACCCAGGCTGGAGTGCAGTGGCATCATCTCGGCTCACTGCAACCTCCGCCTCCTGGTTTAAAGTGATTCTTGTGCCTCAGCCTCCCAAGTAGCTGGGACTACAGGTACATGCCACCACACCTGGCTAATTTTTGTATTTTTAGTATAGACAGGGTTTCACCATGTTGGCCAGTCTGGTCTCCAACTCCTGGCCTCAAGTGACCCACCCGCTTCAGCCTCCCCAAAGCTCTGGGATTACAGGTGTGAGCCACTGCACCTAGCCAGGCATTGGTGTTTTTTTGTTGTTTTCTTTTTTTTTTGAGACAGAGTCTTGCTCTTGTTGCCCAGACTGGAGTGCAATGGCAGGATCTTGGCTCACCGCAACCTCTGACCCCCCCAGGTTCAAGCGATTCTCCCGCCTCAGCCTCCCGAGTAGCTGGGATACAGGCATGCGGCACCATACCCAGCTAATTCTGTATTTTTAGTAGAGACTGGGTTTCTCCATGTTGTTCAGGCTGGTCTTGAACTCCCGACCTCAGGTGATCCGCCCGCCTCGGCCTCCCAAAGCTCTGGGATTACAGGTGTGAGCCACCACACCCGGCCTAGGCATTGGTGTTTTTGTTGTTGTTGTTTTTTGAGACAAGACGGAATCTTGCTCTGTCACCCAGGCTGGAGTGCAGTGGAGCAATCTCGGCTCACTGCAAGCTCCACCTCCCGGGTTCACGCCATTCTCCTGCCTCAGCCTCGGGAGCAGCTGGGACTACAGGCGCCCGCCACCACGCCCAGCTAATTCTTTGTATTTTTAGTAGAGACGGGGTTTCACCATGTTAGCCAGGATGGTCTCGATCTTCTGACCTCGTGATCCGCCCGCCTTGGCCTCCCAAAGTGCTGGGATTACAGGCCTGAGCCACTGTGCCCAGCCGGCATTGGTGTTTTTTAAAGCTCCCTGGGTGATTCCATTTTGCAGCTGGGGGTGAGAGCCAGAGTTCCAGGAGATCCCCCTGAGCCTTTCAGCTCCGCTGGGAGACCTGCCAGAGATAGGAGATCCAGACAGCTGTGTGCATGGTGGGACTGGGGGCTGCTAACAATAGGGGAATCTTCTCTGGACCCCTTCCTGCCTGGTGGTCAGGAGTTATGTTGGAACAACTCTGACAGGGAAGTCAAATCCACAGTGAAACCCCAGAGAAATGAGGGACCATCTGCAAATCCACCCTTCCCATTGCCCCGCCTCCCAGTCCCCGACATTTGCAGCCTGGAGCCCCAAGCTAGCCAGGGTCGTGGTGTCTTCCGCTTCCCTCCCCCAGGTGGAGGTTCTGTACGAGGACGAGCCACTGAAGGAATACTACACCCTCATGGACATCGCCTACATCTACCCCTGGCGGCGGGTGAGCCAGCGGGTGGGGCAGGCAGGGAGCAGACTCCCGCAGGGTCTGGCATTGGTCTGTGGCCACATGGGTCACCCTTCTCTAATCAGAGACAGTCCATCCCTTGTCCCATGAGCTGTGTGTCCAGGGTGGCTTGCTACAGCAGCTCAGCCTCTGGGCCATCTCTTGCGGATGACTTTCCACTCAGGAGACAAGACTCCTTAGGCAGATGGCATTCCCCGATTTGGGGGCAGAAATAGGTGCTGGCAGCTGCCGTGTGTTTGCCTCCCTCTCTCCTCTCTGACAGAGTCTCTGCTTAGACCTTTTGCCTCTCTGGGTCTTCATGTGCCCTGTATCCTTGTCTCTCTCCTCTCCAAGACCCCATCCCATCCTTTTCTTCGTGTTTGCACATTGTGGGTTAAAGCTGGTGGCCCTCTAGTTGGCCTCTCTCTCCTGATACCTTCCCCTTCCCTGTCTCTCTCCTCGCCCCCTCTCCCCGCAGAACGGGCCTCTTCCTCTCAAGTACCGTGTCCAGCCAGCCTGCAAGCGGCTCACCCTAGCCACGGTGCCCACCCCCTCCGAGGGCACCAACACCAGCGGGGCATCCGAGTGTGAGTCAGTCAGCGACAAGGCTCCCAGCCCTGCCACCCTGCCAGCCACCTCCTCCTCCCTGCCCAGCCCAGCCACCCCATCCCATGGCTCTCCCAGCTCCCATGGGCCTCCAGCCACCCACCCTACCTCCCCCACTCCCCCTTCGACAGCCAGTGGGGCCACCACAGCTGCCAATGGGGGTACCTCGAACTGCCTGCAGACACCATCCTCCACCAGCAGAGGGCGCAAGATGACTGTCAACGGCGCTCCCGTGCCCCCCTTAACTTGAGGCCAGGGACCCTCTCCCTTCTTCCAGCCAAGCCTCTCCACTCCTTCCACTTTTTCTGGGCCCTTTTTTCCACCTCTTCTACTTTCCCCAGCTCTTCCCACCTTGGGGGTGGGGGGCGGGTTTTATAAATAAATCTATATATATATGTACATAGGAAAAACCAAATATACATACTTATTTTCTATGGACCAACCAGATTAATTTAAATGCCACAGGAAACAAACTTTATGTGTGTGTGTGTATGTGTGGAAAATGGTGTTCATTTTTGGGGGGTCTTGTGTAATTTGCTCTTTTTGGGGGTACCTGGAGATGAACTGGATGGGCCGCTGGAGGCTCAGTGAAGCTCTGCACGGTCCTCGCTGTTTCCCAAGGCAGATGGTGTGTTGGGACCCCTTCAGCCCCAAAGCTTTAGGCACGATTCCAACTGGCTGCATATAGGAGTCGGTTAGAATTGTTTCTTTCCCCGTTTCTCTCCCCATCTTGGCTGCTGTCCTGCCTCTGACCAGTGGCTGCCCCCCGCATTGTTGAATGTCCAGAAATTGCTAAGAACAGTGCCTTTTACAAATGCAGTTTATCCCTGGTTCTGAGGAGCAAGTGCGGGGTGGAGGTGGCACCTGCATCACCTCCTCCTCTTGCAGTGGAAACTTTGTGCAAAGAATACATAGTTCTGCCTCTTTTTTTTTTTTTTTTTTTTTTTTCCTGTGTGTGTGGCCTTTGCATCATTTATCTTGTGGAAAAGAAGATTCAGGCCTTGAGAGGTCTCAGCCCTTGGAGTTCCACTGTGGCTTTAGCATTGTGAAGCACTGCACCCCCACCGACCCTACCCTCACCCCGGAACCCTCACTAGCAGGACTGGTGGTGGAGTCTCACCTGGGGTCTAGAGTGGAAGTTGGGGTGGGTTAACCTCACACAAGCACAGACCCCAGACTTTGCCAAAGGCAAACAGCCTTCCAGTTGCCCCTCCACCCCCAGTTGAGGCCCGGTCACCTGGTCAGGACAGAGCAACTGCATCTAAAAGCACAAGAAGACAGAAACCTGTAAGCTCTGACCCCACCCCCACCCCTTGAGAGGTCAGCAGACCACCTCCTTAGGGACAGACCCTGGCAGGTCCCTGCCCACCGAGATTTCCTCATGTGTGCATAGATCTGGGAGGATATGGGAGTCGAGACTCAAGATTCCATCACAGCCTAGGTGTGTGGGGTTGGGAGTCCCCTGATGGGCTTGTCTGTATTTGCACCTTGTCCTGTGTCTGAGGTCCTGTGACTGTACCCTCCTCTGCCCTGGGACATCTGTATCTCTTGGCTTTGTAATAAATGCTGCATACTTTCTGGAGCCTGTAGTTCTTTGGGGTAGAGGGAAGAAGGGAAGGGTGCCTCTCATCTCTGGGTTCAGCCTGATTTGGGGACCCCATACTTAATGAATATGAACTGCCCTCTCCTGTGGCAACTGGTCAGGAGCCCCCAGCCCACAGACAGGTTGAAATCTGGAGTAGCAGGCAGCACGTGGGCCTCATAGCAATGACTACAGGACCACCAGTCTAGTTGGGCGGCTTGTTTTTGCCATCTTCCCCATCAGCAAACATTGAACCAGGGCCCACTCCCGCCTGCCCCAGACTGGAGACTTTTAGGTTATAGGGAATAATTCTTCCTTCATGAGCCAGCTGTGGGTACCAGAACTCTTTCTTGGGCTCAGCACCTGTTTCCTTTCCCACAGAAGGGGGTGCCTGTCAGAGGCCGGGAGCCAAGGCCACCTGTGGCTGGACAGCAGCAGCCCCCTCAGAGTGGGGAGCCCACTTCTGCCTTCTGCACGCGCTCACTCCTGTGGGTGCCATCGCAGTACGGGGGCCTCTGAGTGGCCTTGCAGGTACAGAGTGCCACCGTGCGGGTCTCTTGGGCCTTGAACTTGAGGGGAGATAGGCCAGTGCGTTGGAAGAAGTGGGAGCCGTCACAGAAGGGCTGGTGGGGGAAAGACGGGAGTCAAAGACCTGACCCCACCTGCTGGCGTGGGGCGGGGCAGGGCACGCAGCAGGAGCTCAGGGGGAGTGCAGCACAGTGGTTAGGGTGCAGGCTCCAGCGTGAGACTGCCGGGGCTCACCGAGTGACCTCTCTAATCTGTAATGTGGGGGCGATAAGAGTAGAGTTGTATGAGGAAATAAAATAACGATCATGGTATGCTTTGCCTATAGTAAGTGTCTGGTAAGTATTTACAGCGGCTTTATAGCATTAGTCTCTGGGACACCCAGAGAGCCAGGACACTAATAGATGTGTGTGTGTGTGTGTGTGTGTGTGTGTGTGTGTGTGAATGGCTCTGAGTCTCCACTGGATCATGAAATTCATTTCCTTCCAATGTTCCTGGGTTAAAACTTCTTTGAGCTGGAGAGTACCCTGTGGTAGCAATTTTGTTTGGCTCTAGGGAATAACTGGGCATGTGACAGGGAGTGAAGGTTACCAGGAGGAGGGGATGCCCATAGCAAACTGGCTGACTGGCACAGAAGTGTACTCCTCATCCCAGAAGCTGCTCGAGCAGAGACTGGTAATGGAAACAGGCCCAGAGAGGTGACATGCCTTGTTAGTTGAAGGCAGAACTGGTGCCAAGGCTTTTTTTTTTTTTTTTTTTTTTTGACAGGGTCTCACTCTGTTGCCCAGGCTGGAGTGCAGTGATCCAAACACGGCTCACTGTAGCCTCAACTTCCTGGGCTCAAGTGGTCCTCCTTCCTCAGCCTCCATTATGGCTGGGAACACAGGCCCAACTTCATGCTAGTTTTTGGTAGGGGTAGAGGCATTTGTAGAAGCGGGGTCTCAACTTTGTTGCCCAGACTGTTCTTGAACTTCTGGGCTCAAAAGATCCTCCTGCCTTGGCCTCCCAAAGTGCTGGGATTACAGGTGAGCCACCTCGCCTGTGAACCAAGGCCTCTTGACATTGGAGTTAGGGTGGGATGGAAGAGAGGTGAAAGAAGCGTGCAAATAGAAACTAGCAACTTGTCTTAGAGGGCTTGAGGTGTGTGGACCTAAGTGGGACTCAGGGACCCTGGGCTGCTGACACCATGCCACACAGCTTGAAGGAACACCAGTCAGAGCTCTGCTCAGGAAGGAAAGGGGCCAGGGAGGCAAACAATATGGGCAGGTTCCTGCTGGGATGAAAGGTTCCTGGGCAGAAGGGGAAGCAGGTGGGGCAGGCAGCGAAGCTGAGAAGACAGCAAACTGTGGCAGGCGGCCAGGACGTCCCATAAACTAAGAAGGAAGAGTTTTCTGGAAGAAGAGTGGAGAGCGGCACAGGGGAAGGCTGGGAGGCTTTGGAGGCAGGAGAGCCTGAGCAGAATCTCTTCCCAATGTGTCTATGACCATACCACCCTGAACGTGCCCAATCTCATCTGATCTCAGAAGCTAAGCAGGGTCAGGCCTGGTTAGTACTTGGATGGAAGACCGCCAGGAAATACCAGGTGCTGTAGGCTTTCGGGGTTCAACGCCTGGGAATCTATGGCCCAGGTGCTTCCTGGAAGGAGACAGGGAAGGGCCAGGTGAGCTTCGTCATGCAGTGCACCTCTGAGAAGCAAACAGCTCCAGAAGAGCCCACTGGAAGCCTGGCCACATCAGACTGGCTGCGTGACTGAGTTTCTGTCTCTCTGGCTTCATTGCAAGAGATAGATGCAGTGAGCTTAAGGTTGCTGGTGGCACTGGCCTTTTGTCCCCAAATCCCCTTGGTGTCCCTCAGGTATGTATAGGAAGACTAAAATCATCTGGGTGGGAACTCACTGGAGACACCAGGCTGTTCCCAGAGGTATCAGTAGGAAGGCAGGTAGGGGTCTCACCTGCTTCTTGCTGCGGCCACACACACACCACCTGTAGGTTTTCCCTGCCACCAGCTCCACCTTGATGGGGGTCTTCAGGGCCACCACAGACCTGGCTGGGGTTCTAGGGAACCACCGGGCCTGTGGCCAGGGAAGATGAGGGGCTCAGGGTTAGCTCAAGCCCTGGAAGCACCTTCCTGCCTGAGACCTTTCCCAGTTTCCCACTGGCCTGTGTGTGTGGCAGGTTTCCTCTACAAGAGGCTGATCTGATGCCACCCAACAAGACCGTTTCCCAGGACACCATAAGGACCGTGAGCTTTGGATAGTGAAGAGATTTCAAAGCCATGCAGGCGCTCAGGTTTCACGGTCCAGCTGCCTTCCCTCAAAGGCTGGCTCCCACCTGGGTGTTAGGGAGGGCGGGCCAGGATCCTTCCAGCCTGTGGCAGGGCCACCCACACCGGGCTTGGTTCATTAGGTGCTGCTGTCCTCAGAACTGAAGACTGGCGCCCTGCCCAGTGCCCTCTGGTCCGCCCCACCTCCCTGAGAGCCACAGGCTAACTCCAGGTGCCGGGAGTCTGGGGAAATAGGGCTGTACCCTCCTAGCTCCATACCCTGTCTCTGCCTTTTAGATCTCTGTGCCTGGGGGTCTTGTGTGAGGACGCGGGGGAGGATGGGGGGACTTACCAGCCAGGAGGAGATGTCCCGCCGCGGGTTCAGGTCCTGCAAAGTACGCAAGCATGGCAAGCATCACAAGACAGTGATTGGGAAACGGAAAAATAAAATCAGTGGAAAGGGAAGGACATGGGAGGCCATCTGGGAAGGAGGAGGTGACAGGGTTGAAGGGGCGAGGGAGGAATGAGAGGGTAAGAAAAAGGTCGCAAGAGAAGGTGTTGGCTGGGGAGGAACTGGCGCTAGGGAAAAGCCTGTGAGCTGAGGCAAGCCAGACACCGGCGGGGCGGGCCGGGGGCTGGGGGATGCTCGGTCG